ACATCTTAGCACGTCCTGAAATGAATGAGAGCCGAGAGGACCAAGGCATCATATTTTCCCTGTCACCCCCCCTACCCCCACCCCACCCCCAACCCTAACCCTGAGTTCATGTCAAGGTATGCTGTATTTTCGATTAAGTGCTTCTAATCTGAACACATTAGCATTAAGGGATGACAGATCCCGATGCTGTATTTGGAATGAATACGTTTGGTTTGGTGTAACTGCATAAATCAAATTGTATCTGAGCTGTTACTGTAGCAACATTGAAGTTACTGTTGACTCCCTTGAATCTCAGGATTTTCTTTGAGTCAGAGCAAACTAAATAAGACAATCTTATTTAGGCTGTGAAATCTCTGAGACAAACCCCCAATTTATGCAATATTCAGAACAGAAGCTGTTTGGTGGTTTGTTTCCTCCTTTTTGTTACATTTGTAAAATAGGAGCCAGACACTGATGACATCCAACTTCCATGGGAAAGTAGATTGCATGACAAAAAGCTGTGAAGACTTTGTTAGCCCACTGTTATAAATGGTGTTTTTTTATTTCCCTTGTCTCCCCTTTGACCATCTGTGTGCAACAAAACTGGTTTGATTATGCAAGGACTTGCTTTGTTGATCAGCTTTGATCCACACTTCAGTCGCCCCTTTTAGCAGTTACATCTCGCTTTTTCACTCCCAATTCCTTTCTCTGATTTGGTCACATTTCCCTAAAGATGGGGTAAGATGTATGATTCAAATCTGAAATGTTCAAAAATACACACACATGGTAAATCAACAACCACAGAAGAGTGAGTATAAAAAAATCCTCACTTTCACTGGGTTTGACAGATTATTACACCTCAACGATTTGAAAGAAAGCATCTGCTGTTTGGCACTTGTTTGAAATCCATCAGTTCTTCAATTTAAAACCAGCGCATTCATCAGAGCAATTTGTTCAGGTCACATCATTAGGTGTGAGCTTGTATGTTTTAGATACTTGGTGTGCATACTCTGCAAATGGGGGGTATTCATTTTAGATGCATGTGTAAAATCGCTTTCAGATGCTTACACTAGATGTCGGGAAACTAGCAGAGAATTAAGGATAGATAGCCTTTGTTCACTCCTGGATCTAAGACTCATTATTCTTGCCAGTGAATGTGGAGAACTTTCCCCTCTTGTCAGTTGGCTGTTTGAGACATAATGGGCCTGGGGTGTCCATTATAAAGCCAAGATCAACTCAGATGCACTGCAACAGTCTGCTAAAAGAAGTTGGATGCAAGTAAAGTCTATGGCTCTAATTGCTATATAAGGATTAAAAACTACATTAAAGTGACAATGTGTAGGTTTTACCGTTAATCTCTGGAATCATCCACTAAAACGCATATAGCCATAAAAATTGGGTCTAAAGTGCATGGATTACAGCTGAATGGCCTGACGTACGGCTCACAGAAGTTACATTACCACGTCCAAAAACATTAAGGTATTAAGAATCACAAATTCAATAACAAAACTGCCAAACTCTTTTCAAAACAAATGTGAAAAAACAGAATAAAAAAAGAGAAGATATATTTTGGCTGCGCGATATTGCCATAGTTTGATGACGTCACCGGCAGGCACAGGACCCCGAGCAGATTTAGAAAGTTAAACGTCAGAAAACCAGAATTGGCATTGCATTTTCTTGATGGAATTAATCGAAGGACAATCAAAGTCTGAGGAGTCATGCCGAGGTTGCACGCTTTCTGCTCCACACGTAACATTTACCATTATGTTTTTTCAAACTAGCAACAGCCACAACTAAATGGTGTAAAACTACCCTGAAGTGAATGTGCTGCCCCTTAGAAGCAGGAAACTACACACTGCCACATTAAGTATACGAACAAGAACACGTGAGATGACAACAAAAAGTGTTTTTTTCCCAACATTATTTTCATTCATTGACATTAAAATAAAAATATAAAACTAAATTGCTAAAAGCCAAAATGAAAAAGGGGACAGAAAGAAGAAAAACGTATGTTATCTGCCCTTTTTAACAGAAATAACATTAATACAAATGAAACAATCATATGATCCTTAAAAAATTTGAACAATATTGTTTCTGGAATGGTTGGCCGACACAACCTCAAGCTATGAATTGAAAAAAGAGAGAAAACAAGTTACACAGAAAGAAGCATAGTTATATACATATATACTCACATACTGTAAATACGCATACATAGACTTGTTGCCTTTTTTTCTTTTTTTTTTCCTTTTCTTTCACCCCCCCCCCCCCAACCCCCCTCCCCTCACGCGTTTATGTAACAGATCTATATAAGTTAATCATTTCATTTTTATCTCTTTTTTGAAAGTCAGTATTGTTTTTACATTCTTGATTTCAGTATTTAATTTATTCCACATTTTAACTCCATATATGGACACACAATGTTCCCTTATGAGTATTCTGTGTCTAGGTATATTAAATAATTCATGTCCTTTTAAATCATATTTGCTATGTCTTTTTGTAAAACTTTTGATTAAATCAGCAGGTGTGTACCCTTTGTTTGCAATATACGTACATTTTAAAATATTGTAGTCCACCAGATCATAGAATTTTAGTGTTTTTAATTTTATAAATAATGGATTGGACGGATCTCTGTAGTTGCTCCTCTATTTATAACTTTAACAGTACTGTGGATAACATGGATGTCCAACTCATTAATCAAGATAGTTGAGCTTACACAGCAGCAGTGCAAAGAACTTTAGTTGGGCTCTGTTACAAGCCATCTCCAATGTGTGACTTTATAATGCTTGTTTATTACACGGTGCTTAGCACATAAATGATTGCCTTATTTTTATATTCTCCTCCTTGTTTTATTTTATTTTATTTTTTTTATATTAAACCACCAGTCAAACATAATTATTGCAAATAAAAAAAGAAGCTAACTTTTAAGCCTAATAAAAGCAGCATGAACACATTTTTTTAAGCATGGATTCATATCGAACCAACACCGATCCAGCAGCGTGAAGTTTGTAAGAAAACGTGTTGAAAGGCAGTCTAAGGAGCAGGCTGTCTCAGTTTAAAGTGTTATGATGCTTTTATTGTTGCCAGCCGACACATTTAAACTTTACATTGGAGCTGAAGCATCCAACAGATCTGATCCTCTGTCAATCACATAAGAACTCCTTTTTAATGCTGCACCGCTGAAAACGTATTGAGAATGGTGTTGCTTTACATCTCCCCCACACACACCAAAACAGCAACAGCTTTTGCTCAGGAGAAAGCAGCAACAACAAAACAAAAAAAGCGACAAATGATCTTTCCAATTCTGCTGTGAGCCTGCACCTTTCCCCTTTGGTTTTCTATCTCGTTCTTCTTAGACTTTAACTAGAAAAACCAAAGTGCATCTCTTGTTTCCTCTGATGTCTTCTAACTTACTCACCAGCTTCTGTTCTATACGTGTTATTTAGACTTCCGTCTGGCCACATGATTTACAATACCTTTAGCCTTGTGCTTGCAGTCAGCAGATGAAATCGTCATTTGTCTCATTACCAGTCCGTCTTCTCTGCCATACATTCTCACTCTCAGTGTTGCTGCATCAGAGCCCTGCTCCTCCCGGGAGTACAGCCACCTGCTGACCCTACATTTCACACCTCTCTTCTATTTGGAATTCCTTTCCTCCATAGTGTATTACACTTATTTCTTAGCTTTTTCACCCAACAAATGAGAATTTGGCATCATGGAAGCCCACCTGTGTGTTTAAACCATTTGCCTTTTGAGTGGACTCTTTTATTGAGCTCCAGTTCAGGGCTTTATGCAAAATCATTTATCTGGAAGGGACTTTTGTTTTGTGCTAAATTTTTACAGACTTTGAAACAAACTTTATAATGAGGCAGTATTATTAAACAAAGGACTTGAAGCATTTAATTGGCGCTATTCACAATTCACTAGCCTGTTTATGCAGTAAACATAAAAAGGTCCGCTGTGAAAGAAATGGTGAGTTGAGTTTTAAAGGCGGTTGCTGGTCCAATGCCAGATTCATAACGATCCCTGTAGCTGAGCATTATGCAGTTTGTAACGGGAATAGAAGTTAAATACTTGAATTGTGTTGGAAGATAAAAAGCTTTGGATTTAATATTCCAGATGTAAAGCTGCACATATTATTAGCATACTTTTTATTTGCACATGCAAAAGGTCCTTCAGTTCAGTTTCTTTGAGTTGTATTTGTACATGAGCCTTGAATCGAATGATTATGCAGTTATTAGTAAAAAAAAAAAAACTGATGAGTCACCAATGTGACCTCAAGTCCAGCAGCTACTGTTAAAGATTTGACATTGTTGTGATGGAGCAGGCCTGGATGTCAGTTAAACGATTATGCAGAAGATGACATTTTAGGCTTTAAAAGGTATTTGGCTTTTTAAATCCCACCAGACACGCTGACATGTTTGAAAGGGATTTCTAAATAAGGATGTGGGGATTGTAGGAAGTCGACACGGACATTACAAGCATGCATCTGCGGCGTTAATCCCTGTCTGTTTACAGAATTTTGCCAAACATGAAAGCAAATGAGGGACTACAGGTATAATGGGACAGCATTTAGTAAAAACTTGTGCAGGGCATTTGTTGATCAACAATAATCTAGATTTTGGATCATGTTTCCTTTCCTTTTTCACAGTTTCCTTCTGTTTTATTTGGACCTTTTTCTAAGAGCAAGGATCAGACAATGCCCCCCACTGAATCTCTCCTCTGAACATATTAGACCCACAACTTCATTTTTTAACCCCCTGTACTTTCTGTAATGTGCCTCCCACATGCAGGGGCTTGATGTAATCCAAAAAACCAACTCTGGTTTAATATCTTGACTAACGTCCTAAAAACCAGAGAAGTTTATTTTAAGTCCACTTTGGAAATGAATGGTTTGGAAAAACTGCAACACAAACACACACACATCCTTTCATCTTCTTTCTGGTTCTTATTGCCTTAGTTTTCCTGCATTTTCTCTCTGCACTCATGCTCGCTCTCTCTGTGCTTATTCCCCCTCTGTCCAGCATGTGAGTTAATGAACCAGGGGATCCTTGCTCTGGTGACGTCCACAGGCTGTGCAGCCGCAAGTGCCCTGCAGTCTCTGACAGATGCAATGCACATCCCCCACCTTTTCATCCAAAGAAACGGGGATGGCGGACCCCGGACCGCCTGCCAGCTCAACCCCAGCCCAGACGGAGAGAGCTACACGCTGGCTGCCCGTCCGCCTGTTCGAATCAACGACGTCCTGCTCACCCTCATCTCGGAGTTCCGTTGGCAAAAGTTCATCATCTTTTATGAGAGCGACTACGGTGAGTTCAGAGAAATAATCAGTTGATTGCTAAACTTATCTCAAAGGCGTGACAAGTGTAACTCAGGACTCCCATTTAAATGTAAATTCTCCTAAACCTGATCTCCAATGTCAGGCGAGAACAGGTCTCTGCTGAAGGGAAGTTATGTTAAAGCTGAGAATTTATTTTTCACTTAACACACTGAAAAAAGGAGCACATACATTACAAGCACACGTGTAAAAATACATCAAAAAGTGAAAATTGTGAGGAAAAAACAAGATATTGTTGCTGCTTTTACCATTAGTAATTATGAGCCTCCTTCCCTGTGAGAGTTTGTACTCTACTGACGACTCTAAATCTGTTCTTGGATCTGTTTTCACTTCTGTTGTTATTTTTTGTGTGACATCCCTCTGGACCAGAACTTTCCTGGCCCACAATTGACTAGAGGCGCAGTGGATCAAGAAGTTATTGGCAAAGCAAAATGACGACGAGAGTCATTATTGCATTGCCATTCCTCGGATGACTATTTGCATCTGCTTGCTAATCTTTATAGCACTTGGAAGAGTTTAATCTGGAAGAATGTATAAATCTGCAAACATCTAAGCTGTAGCTTTTGAGTAAGCAGGTTTTCAGGGGAAAACCCAACATCTCAACCATCCCTCAAAATCCAGAGTTTTCCCCCTTTCACTAATTTGTTTGTTGAAATCTGTGAAAGGGATGGTCTTATCCTGTACTGAGCTGTAGTGAAGGCTAAGACCGTCCCTGTCCCATAGAGCCTCATACAATTTGAACTGACCAGCATTAAACATTAGCCAATAGCTTTGGGCAGCCTCAAACATATAGATGCGTGAACTTTTAAGGTTTACCTATACTAATGCTGAGTTGGGGACATTTTCTTATGGATAATTAAGTCTTTAAAGTATATAAATAGGAATAAATGGCGTAATGTGAGAATAATACCTGTAAAATGATATGTGTCAGCTCTGTTGGCCAGCTGGAGGTGCGCGTTCATGAATGATAGCTGTAAATACATAGATGGTGACAGCTGCCTTAGCGATACATGTGTCAGCCTGTAGATCAGTGGACCTCAACTGACAGCCCGTGGGCCAGATCCGGCTCGCCAGACCTTTCCACCCGGCCCCTCAACTTTATTTGCCCTGTTGCCCCCAATTGGGGGACTTTAAAGTTTAGCAGCAAAATCCATGCCCCAATTGTCAATAATTGTTTACGTTCTCCAAATACAACTAAAACTACAATCAAAACAGTTTGGATGGAAAACAAATCCTTTTTAAATATTAATAAATTAAGATGCAATAATACTTGATTTTAGAAGAGCATCTGACCCTCACAGCCAAACTCTGGCTCTTGAACAAATTTAGTTGCTCTAGATGGTGTCGTCGGACAAGAAATACTTCCGATTGTAGCTTTAATAACTGTAAGTTTAGAAAACATGGCACATCTCAAAACATGGCACATCTCTTTGTGGTATGGCATGTTATTTCATGATTACAGTTACCTGCCCTTGGAATAGTTTCTGACAATGACATCTTTGTAAAAAGTGCAACTGCAGTATTTGGTTGGATCAATAGAAGGTACACCATGGAAGAACACTTGTCTGCTCTTTTACTTTCTTCTCTCTTTGTTTTCTGACTGTGAGACCCCCCAACCACCCCCCACCCCACCCCCATAACCTGTCACGTGAGTCAGGTTAACAAGTGTTTGACTGTCTGTCTTGATATAGACTTATACAGTCGTTGCTTTTTGCCCCTTTTCCTTCTTCTGCCTGTTGAGCTGTCAGTCACAACAGACCTGTGTGTGTGTGTGTGTGTGTGTGTGTGTGTGTGTGTGTGTGTGTGTGTGTGTGTGTGTGTGTGTGTGTGTGTGTGTGTGTGTGTGTGTGTGTTCTTGACTAAGTAAATGTCTGATGGCCTAATTAACTGTCTGTCCTGCTAGTCAGCTGTCTTTCTGCTCTGCCATCTATAGATCAATATATTTGTCAGCACTTTTTCAGCCGTTTAATTCAATGTCTCCAGTCTACCCTAGTCACACTATAAATTGAACTGCCAGTTTTCTTAAATGGCCCAGACTTGAATTGATGTCCACTGAGATACTTTACCTAGAAGAAAATATTTTTGTTGATTTTCATTTAAAATAAAAATAAATAAAAAAACTGTCGGGTAAATTTAATTTTGAGTCCTTTTTATTTTATTAGTTTTTTAATTGCCTTTTTTATCAATGTCAACTAGGTGCCGAGTCCTGCTAATGTCTTTTCAGAAAGATTCACATTTTCGCTCAGGTTTTTTATTTCAAAAGCACAATAAAAGAATTCAAAGGCGTGCAACACTGAAAACCCCATTTTCAAATAATTAATTCTGATGATAATCGGTCACTCTAAGTTTTTCATGCAGGCTAAACATGAAAATAGTCTCCTACACCTATTTCCTGTCATTTAACATGTATGGACTCGCCCATCTTGACTCATGACGAGGAAGGCCGTTGTTGGTTTAGTGTTCAATAAACAGTAGAGAATGTCTCAACCTGTAGAAGCTAGTTAGCATTAGCAACTCCACCATGTGGCAAAACTCCTTCAGGCTTGTGTTATTTGTGGGGATAAAACATTGCAAAGCAAAGAGAGTCAGTGGTAGAGATGCATTGCTGCTAGCCAAATATCGGTAAATAAGACTCCAGACCTTGCCATCTGAAGCTGCTTTCTCCTCTGGCTGAAATCTCTGCGCTGAAACAGGCACAGCGGCCCTTGTTTCCCTAGAGTACAACTTACAAGGCATTCTTTCCTAATACAGACTACTGCTAATATATTAAAATATGACTGAAGATACCCTTTAAACACTGAGACTACCTTATTTTACAGAAACCTGCTAATGGGTGGCTCGGTTTTTATTCTAGAAAATTGTTCCGATTTTCAGGTCATTAGTCGCATTTTCAAAAACCTTTATGGGCCCATTTGAAGAGGTTAATGGAAGACGCTAAATATGGAAGATCATGGATTATCACTAGAACGATCAACTGTTCTTGCCTCTAAAGAACAAAGATTAGATTAATGACATGAAACAAAAATGTGTCAAAGTCTAAATTATTTCTGAGTCCCTTTTCAAATTTAATGAGTAATTGGTTAATTTGGACTGTTTATTTCAATTGCCAAGAGTCTACATCGGGGTGTCAAACTCAAATCCACACTGGGCCGAAATGATAATCTGGGACGAAGTTGCGGGCCAAACTTAATATTTTTTTTATAAAAAGTGACGGCAAATTAGCACATTTTCTTTGTCAACATATATGCAATTTTGAACCTTTACATTTGGAAACAAACATATTTATGCATTAACACTGAATGTGGAATAACCAAATTACACACGGGCAAGTCAATTTTAAATACAACACATCAGTGGTATTCATTTCTTGTGGTATATTCAGCCCTGTTGTTTATTCATTTTTCTTATTTTTTATTCTCCTTTTTTTCTCCTGTAATAAGTGTCATGGCTGCTGTAACATCTAGCCAGGGCCGGATTATCATTGCAGGGCAATGCTGAGATTCAATAGCCATCAGTGACAGTGCACTGAGGTGCTGTTGAGTTTGTGTTGTTCTCAGTTCATTTTTTATTCTTGCTATTTGTGAAAATCATCATTCCTCTTCACAATTTGGTAGAGTTAGAAAAATCTGCAGGGCCACAAACACCTTAGGGAAGATGGACTGTAGACTGTTTTTTAGCCTGACAAAGATCCTGGTTCTACTGATATGACACAACATCTATGTGGACTCTTTGGGGATTATTTAGAGCTGAGAGGCGCTGAGCTCTGATCATTGATGCGCTCCAGGCAGATGCGTCCTGAGCACGGCCACAGTAACATTATCAAAGTGTCGCCACCTCGAAAACAAATTTAACACGCAATCGTTTATGCCGCCTCATATCGTTTCATGAGTTCACCTCACCGGTGCGGTCAGCGCACGGCACGTACAGTTAAACTGCTGATGCACTCCGCTATTTTTGTGGTCGGTAGATCTTTTAGAACTGCAGTTCAAAGGTAACTCATAAGGTGAATATATATGAAGTCAGGTAGCAGTTTTTCTTTAGGATTGAGAGGAGATGCAGGAAGATAATAAACAGAGACGGGACAGAAAAATAGTCAAATAAAAACAAGTTAGTTTTTGTACCTGGTGGTTGCAACAAACAGACAACATTGAAGGTAATCAGAAGTGAGGAACAGAAAATGAAATAATTATTTTAATGTTTAGAGCAGCAGCAACTCTGAGAGGCTGCAGGCGCACCAGTGAGTTTATGGCCACTGCGCAGGGGGAGGGGGGAGAGGGCTGAAGCAGGAACAGTAAAGATGCAAAAACTACCATTGTTAAAAGAAATGTGTGGTAACTTAGAAAATGTGGGTGCAATTTTAATTACTTGTCAACTTTTTTCTCCAACGTTAAGACTGCTGCTGCAAAATAAAAAATCAATAAATAAAAAACTGCTGCTCACGTGGGCCCCCTTGCAGCTGTGGGCCCCTGGGCCTGTGCCCAGTTTGCCCGTATTATAATCCGGCCTTGCAGACCATCAATTTGTGAAGGGCTGGAAATGAAAATGTTGTTAAATTCCTCTGAGATGCTTAAAACAGTAAAAAAGGAACAGTTGATTTAAAAGTTTCTACAGCGAGATTAATGCGAGTGAATTAGGTGCAACAACAGAAAATGTGTGTTTTAGTGTGCTTATGTGCTACAATAACTCAGAAACGTCTCAGTACAGATAAATCAGATCAATTTTAGCGAGCAACAAACACAGAACAGCTACACAGAGTGCAACACTTAAATCAGGAAGATTAAACTAAAACGCCTTATGGCAGGAAGTGATTATTCAATTCAGTTCAGTTCAAGTTTATTTATATAGTGCCAAATCACAAGAGTCATTTCAAGGCACTTCACATAGCATATCCACAACCTGATGACCCAGAAAAATAGTTAGTTCACATTCAAATCTTTGGTTTTTAACCACGCTTCCTCTATTGCCAGAGAA